TACAGTAACTTACCTAAGTCATAATACATGAATTTTCTTTTATGAATCAGTAAATTGTTGAGAATCTTTGCCTTCTCTACTAAAAATAATACAACCATAAGAATCATAGCTGCATTTTTTCAAATGCATATAAAAGAAGAAACAAAACAGCAACAAAACCCCCAAAACTCATTCAACAGTCAAGACCTAATATACATCATAGATAATACATCTTGGCTGTTATTGGCTATTGGCTACTGCAACTGGTGTTCATCATTTTTTGAAGAGTCTCTGACTAATGAAACATAGCCTGATCAAGACTTCCGGGCCAAACCCACAGACCAAAGAAATATAAATAGACCTGAGAAGAGAAGAAAAATGAGTGTTAATTCTTCTTGCAAGTGATCAAAGTCCAGTGCATATTTGATATAAGAATCATTCACATAATAACCTTGAAGGGAGTTCAAAATGGTGAATATGTAGATCCCAGCGAGTGAAACGTACGTAGTGCTGGCTAACCCCCAAGGTAACCCCAGCACAAAGCTGAGGCCCAGCACTGTGACACAGTCCCTCCATAACCTCTTTTTTTTCTCTTTGTTTGTCTCCTTCCAGTCACTGCTGCTTCCAAAGCTCATCTTCTTATCATCACTTCTTAATTTCCGCATCTTACACACAACCAGCCCCAGCATGCAGGCGTTGAACAGGACCACCAACAAAGGAAAGGCCACGGTAGTGATGTAGCTGACTAGAGGACGCTTTGATTGGAAGTCGCTGCTAATCCAGCACCTGCCCATTATAAAAGATAAAATAATAAAATACAGTGAGCTCCTTTAACATAACAGCATGTATCTGTGCATAGTCAAACTACCATGCTAATTACACATTTAAAATCAAAACCACTGTTTCTTACATTTGTGCTGTTGAATTGCCATTTTTGGTTTCCCTTAGTTGTAGAGTGTACTTGCCATAAACACCTGAAATCCCACAAATTGTTGCGACCAATGTGGGAAAACCTGGACAAGGGAATGATAAATTACCTTTAATTGAATCATTAGATACAAAGACCAAGATAAGATCAAATGTAACATTTTTTTTAAAATTTGCAATATCCATTGCAGTTTCTCAAACATAAAATAAAAGATATACGGAGAATGTTAGATTATCACCAAGTTCCGGCTTTCAGTGTAAGAACCTTGCCAGTGTCTGTGTGTGTACGTGTAAAACGCAAACACTGGAATGTGGCTTCTCTTAATTTAATTTATTCAAAAAGAAATGGCTCTACATGAAAAAAAAAAATACAAACAAACAAAAAACAATAATATGAGTCTACACAAATCACCAACCTTGAGAAATTTTGAGATTGAGCCCCATCTACATATTCCTCTTATCTCTAAACTGCCAGACTTTGTCAGTTTGTTCAGTTGACTAGAAGCTGAACTGAGAGAGGAAGTGATTTGCAACACAATGGCAACCACAGACTGAAAAAAGTCAATAACATTCAGCAGCTTTAGTAGATATAACTTTTTCTCAATTTAAAGGTGACCAATTCAAACAACAGCCAAAGAGAGCTCAGGACACTCTTGTTTCTGAATTTTTCTTTGTATAATTCTACTTGTTTTTAAGGTTTTTTGTCAGTTTTTTGGTTTCTTAGTGTTCTTTATTGTCAGGTCTCAACTGTTATGAGTTTCACCCCCAACTTGTGCTCAGTATTTCCGTTTAGGTAGTTTCTCATTTCTGATAGAAGGATAA